TAATTGTTAATTTTATGAAATATAAATATATACATTATTACTACTATTTTCAGTAGGAAAGGATAATGAAATTTAGTTGAAATCCTTTCGGTAATAATTTTAAATTCTTCGTGACCTTAAAAGAATATTGGCTTTTAATTTTGAAAACACTGTGTTCTAGGGAAGATTTCATAATTAATTGATTAGAACGCAGTTGCTCGATAACTTCACTTGAACTTATTAACTTGAATCAACTTCATTAATTATATTTTTGGTGAGTAAATATTTGATCCAATACGAATCCTCATTCGCTTACACTGATTTCCAATTAAAAGGAATTTCCAGTTACAAAGACAAAAGAATCTAATTTAAATATTTTTCAACAGTAATTTTAAATGTCCTTTCCTGATCCTTCTGAATAGTTTCTAAATTAGAAGACAATTATGACTGTATTTCGATTTTAACTTTGAAAAGCACCGTGGCTTCAAGGTGATTTCGTGATGTATTGGTTACGGTATAAACTATTTGAACTTATTAACTTGAATTACCCCATTAATTATCCTTTTGTGGGTAATTACTTCATACAATAGTTTTTCTCACTCGGGAACACTGATTTCCAGTTAAAAGGACAAGAAATTTAACTTATTTCAACAATAATTTTAATATCCTTCCGTTATCCTTATGAGTAATTTCTAAATCAGAAGCCAATTTTGGCTATATTTCCATTTTAACTTTAAAAGCATTATAATTTCAGGACGACTTCATAATGAATTCATTAATCTGTAGTTATCTTTGAATTAACCCCATTATGTAATTATCTTTTTATGAGTAATTATATGATGCAATTACGTTTCCTTATTTGGTAAAACCAATTTCCAGTTAAAAAAATAATAAAACTCTAATGGTAGTTTTAAAATTTGAAGTTATTAACTTGAATTAACCCCTTTAATTATATTTTTGTGAATAGTTGTCTGATGCAATAACATTTCCTTACGTGATAACACCAATTTCCAGTTAAAAGGATAACGAAATCTAATTGAAATATGTTCCACAGTTATTTTAGTGTTCTTTCTCGGTCTTTAGGAGTAGTTTCCAAATCAGAGACCAATTATGGTAGTATTTCCATTTTAACTTTGAAATCACTATGATTTCGGATCGATTTCATAATGAACTGATTAATCTATAGTTACTTGTTAAGAAATATAAATAATTTGAAGTTATCAACTTGAATAAACCCCTTTAATTACATTTTCGTAGATATTTATTGATCAATAATGATTTAAGGGTTAATTTTTATTTTTCGTAGACAATTATTTTGTATTGTCCTTATAAACAACTTGTCTAGTAAATGTATTGGTAATTTTCAAATATTGTTCAGCTTATGCTAATATTGCAGTGTGGGTACCGCAGTATAGAAGTTGGCCTAGTGCCAAAATTTACCGTTTGGCCAACTAGGGCAAATCTGATAATAAGACGCAATGAAGAGAAATAAGCAATTGCATGACGCTATAAACTGATAAAATCTTCGTTAAAATCTCTTTAAGCCTTTAAACTTCGCACTTCTTTCTGTATTTTACTATTTGTTAACAGAAAAAAGTAGCTAACAAAATTATCGATTCCAGGCAGTCTGAAATAATATTTCACCCTGTAATTATTATGTGCAAGATAACATGTTTACGACCTCCAGAGGCGCCCCTTTTTTGTTACCAGGCTAACATCACATTAATCGATTTTCAACTGATTGTGAGACATACCTTTTTCGATCCTTTTGAGAATGATATCCTTGTGATCCTGGCAATGTGGTTCGCCGATAACAATCAATAGATAGCAACCGGTCAGAGGGCTCAGGACCGGAGGACCCCCTCGGTCCACTTCCGTGTCCCCGTTGACACCCTCCATTCGTTCCAAACGCCGCGCTTCACCTGGAGGCCTTCTTCGTCGGCTGTATTAGGTGTCTTGGTGATAGGGCTCGAAATACTGGCAATATGACCGGTCGGATGCGATTCAGTAGACTTCAGTAACCTCGGTGGAGGTCTTAGAGAGGACCTCGCGACGGAAACTACGGAAGAGCGCAGTTAGGGCCCGTCAACTCGCGATTGCCGGTACGTGGTGCGCTATGCAGTAGAAGAGGCTCCGCCTCGTTAGCAGACACCCGGGTGGGGTAGCCAGCTGACTAGGCCGGGGGGTGAGATCACGATCGAAATAGTTCCCGACGACTGGCAACGTCGTAGCCGTAGCTCCTTCCAAAATCTACAGGATGAGACGACCGTCGCGACGAAAAAGCTCCGATATACGGAAAAACCTGACTGAAATACTGAAAACAGTTCCTCGAATCCTTAAATACTTGTCGTCTTCTTAAATGATATCTTATGTTAAAGGATTAAAAGCTGGTCTCAGTTAGCTTATTCTAAAAGGATCAATAACGATTGAGCATTATCAATGTTTAGATTTTATGATATCTTCATTTGAAAATTTACACTTTCCAGTCTTCGCATGTGATGCAAGTTGTCAGATTAATGTAGAGAATTTTTACTGGATATGAACGTAGCAGTTATTTCGTTGCAGTAAATCCATGTTGTCCGTAACTACACTACGAAAAATGAAATAGTTGAATTTACCATGCTGTGTTAATTTTTCATTTAACATTTCATGCTAGAAAAAGGACTCAAGTATGATCCTTCAAATGGGAAATTAACACGACATAAAATAAAGTAAATCAAACTATTTTCATTGTTTTCAGTGTATGGTGTTCTCGTTATTATAAAATTTTCTGTGTATTAATTATTATGGATATTTTCAAGAATTTCTTCATGCTAACTTCTGTTCCAATATATATTTTCGCCCCATATACCTTTTTTTTTAACTTTCCATACTTCGTTTACTTTTACCTTCAATCCCATCTTCTCTTTTATAACTCTTTTCAATTCCCTCCACTCTTTGTTCTCCTCCAACTCTATTCCAAAAATCATCAGGTTTAGTTATATCTTCCCTTCCTTTCTTTTTCAGTTTCATTTCTATTCTCCTTATTCTTTACTTTTTGTTCCTCCACTTGTTTCTACACATGTTTTTTTATCTTCAGCTTCTCCAGTACCTTTTGCTTTACTGTTTCTTTTCAGTTGTTCTGTCCTGATTTAAACCGTTCCTTATCGCTTTCTTCATTATATTTATCCAACCTTTCTTACAGTTTCTGTAAGTTCTTTCATCTTTTCCTTTGTACTATTATTTTCTTCCTGTATTTTGTCCAGCTTTTGTTCCAATCTTTCTCATCTTCTTTTTTCTTGTAATTCTCTTTTTTTTTATTTTTCATCGTTTTATTTCTATTTTTCCTGGTCCTATTCCTTTATTTCTTCTAGAATTTCCTTAACATATCCCAATATAGCATATAAAACTATTTATTGGATACTTTTAAGTACTTAGTAAACTAATACTATTTTCTAATCTTTCCAGGAATTCTGTGCAAGGAATTGAAGGACCATATTCGCAAGATCTACTGCAAAATCTTCTAAAAAGGTAGAGAATTTAAAATTTTTGTAGCGTGTGTGATTAATTTTCAAAATACAAAATTGGTAATTGTACGGTGCATATGCCAAATGTATAGAAGGTGAGCTTCTACAATTCATATGATTGCATAAAAGAAGGCCTTAAAGAAGCCCCTGTAGAGCATCTCAATATAACTGCTGGTATAACTTTTCTAATAATTTAAGTGTAAATACCATAGGGTGCCATATTATCTTGGCATAAAAGCCAAAGTAAATAATATATGTGAGCTAATTTTTATTAGTTCTTATTTCGTTTTTTGAAAAAGTATTAGGTACTTCATACTTATTAAGCAAACTGCTACATATCAAAAATTCAACCCCATCAGCCTTCTACATTTTTGTTTTGTTTTATATTTGTTAGCACTGTGTTGGTGTAATTTGTCGTGTTCTCGGTGTAAAACACGATATAAGTTTGTTTGCGATGAAGTTGTAACGCGTAATGAGGGTCAGGGGTTGCAGAATTCGTTGTTGCCAAATCGGGAAAAAAATATCCGCAGTGCAACCTAGTAGTACAGATTCTTTAATACGCCTGTCCGCGAAAATCGCTTTTATGGAAGTGGAAATTTTCGATATCTCTTAATTCGTCCTGTAACTGTTGCAGCCATTTTATTTTTTCTTTTAAACAAAGCTAATAATCTGTTGAACTGTTGAATAAAAATTAATTGGAAAGCGCACTGTTCTAAAAGGTCTTACATGAAATATGTCGTTGGTTTGATGAAATTTATTGAAACATCATGATGAAATCACTTCCCTTTTTTATGCAATAATTGAACAGGATCATGAGTATTGGGAAAACAAAATTGAAAAACCAATAAGAGCATTGTTGATTCGCGACGTTTCGTGTCTATTTCTTGAGAATTTATGAAGTTCTCAACTTATCTAAGTTTGACAGTCAGATAGGTAAGTTGAGAGCTTGATTGAAAGAGATTGACCTAGGATTATCTGCAATTATCTACAATAAAAGAATAGATATGTGTCTAATGGAACTAAAAAGTAAACCTCGATAGAGTCCTATAATTTCCGTTAAAAATCAAAACGAATGAAACATAAGCGCCTAACGACTTACATATGAGCAAATCCTTACCTTTCAATTTTCAGTTAATTGTACTAGAATCTGAATAAACTAATGCAACAACTACAAAAATAGTCTACAATTAACAAAGTGATTACCATTTTCAAAATTGCCACCCACAATACTTTTTTAAGAAAGTTAAATAGGTAAAATTCCTAACAAAAGCGAATTTAAGTTTATTGATTAGAATTATTGCAACCGTTGGTCTTAACCAAATGGGTTTTGGAAGATAAGGTCGATTATCCCGTGACTAATCGCATATTTTACATTAATTACACTTTCACATTTCTTTTTTTTAACATTTATGTCACAGCTATTACACTCAACTCAATGTATACATTATATAAAATGATTGTTAAATACTAACGGTTAAGTGCCTTCGAAGCGTTCGAAATGTGGTGTTACCGGCGACTGATAAGGATACTGTTGATAGAGAAGGATAGAAATGAAGAGGCATTGGAAAGAAAAGGAAAACAGAGGACTCTATAGAAGTTAATAAAAAATAGGCGAGATAAGTTGGTTGGACACCTTCTCAGTCATGAAGGTCTAGTCATATTAGAGGCAGAAACAGGAGTTAAAGAAGTAGAGGTAGACTTAGATTAGATTACTGTTCGTAAATAGTTAAGGATGTAGGATATTCTAGGAGTGGAGGTGTATGTCCGACCAATTTTAGGACTGACGACCTTATGATGACTTCCTTTACTACCACCTTCAATCCCATCTTCTCTTCTATGACTCTTTTCAATTCCCTTCACTCTTTATTCTCCTCCAACTCTATTCCAAAAATTATCAGGTTTAATTATTTCTTCCCTTCTTATCTTTTCTAGTTGCAGTTCCAGTTCCATTTCCATTCCTCTTTTTCTTTACTCTTGTTCCTCCACTTGTTTCTACACGCGCTTTTCTATCTCCAGCTTCTCTAGTACCATTTCCTCCACTTCTTCTGTTAAGTTGTTCTGTCCTGATTTAAACCATTCCTTATCGCTTTTTTCATTATATTTATCTAATTTTTCTTCCAGTTCCTGTAATTTTCCACTTATCTCCTTCTCCAGTTCTTTCATCTTTTCCTTCATACTATTTTTTCCTTCCTTTTATCATACATTTTCCTTCTTCACCACTCTTACTATGTAGTTCCATTAGTAATGTGACTATAATCTCACAATATTCTCTATTAATGCCTTTTCAAAATGAAAACTGTTAAAGCAAGCAATTCTATTTTGTTACCATTATGTTTAAAAGGCACTTTACTGGCTGAACTCTTTCACAGAGAGATTAACACCCATTATCTCCACAAACTGATCTGAACAGTGGGTTACTTTATGAGCTTTTCTCGAGTATGTACGACGTAAAACGGATTTTGCTACGGAATTACGTTTTTGCATTGCATTTAAATTACTATTATGCATATAAAATTTCTTGTTCTGTTATCGTAACGGCAGATAGCAACTTCACCATTCCATCTCAGTTCCATATTCTGCGTTATTACCTGATGCAACTTCATTCGTTTAACGACTCACGAACTTCTTGCATATAATTTGACTCTTAATCTTAACTACGAGGGTGGATTGATAAGTTTCCGGCCTAACCAAGAGATGACGCCACTAGGCCTACCTTGAGGTGACATTCTATAGTACCATCCTTGGATAGCTTGTAGCTATAGTTTCAGCCCGATCTCCTTGCTAGTGTAGGTTTGACAGCACGCTGAACAAGACGCCTCTGTGGTTTTCGTAAAAATGGAAAAGCAGGAAAATCGTGCTGTCATCAAATACTTTTATTTGAAGGGGTTAACGCCGAAGGAAATTAAAAAAGAGATGGACTCAACACTGGGGACATCCTCCCCGTCATATTCAACCGTTAAGCAGTGGGTTTCCGAGTTTAAAAAGGGTCGTGTGAGCACCTCTGATGGGCCTCGCTCAGGACGCCCCGTTGAGGTCACAACTCCAGATATGATCGAAAAAATTCATCAAATAGTGCTGGGAGACCGCAGATTGAAAGTGCGTGAGATAGCTGAGACCTGTAAGATGTCATATGAACGTGTGCAACATATTTTGCACCAACATTTGCATATGGAAAAGCTCTGTGCAAGATGGGTGCCGCGTTTGCTAACAGTCGACCAAAAATTGATTCGAAAAAACATTTCTACAGCAAATTTGTCATTGTATAAGCGTAATCCAAGCGAATTTTTGCGTCGATTCGTAACCGTTGACGAAACGTGGGTCCACCACTACACTCCTGAAACCAAAGAACAGTCTAAACAGTGGATTGGACCAGGGGAACCAACTCCAAAGAAGGCAAAAACAATTTTTTCGGCGAACAAGGTTATGGCTACTGTTTTTTGGGATGCAAGAGGTATTATATACATTGATTACCTTGCAAAGGGTAATACTATCACTGGTCAATACTACGCAGACTTATTGCAACGTTTGAGCCACGAGGTGAAAATTAAACGACCTCATCTGGCGAAGAAAAAAATCTTGTTTCATCACGATAACGCACCAGCGCACACGTCAATCGTTGCGACGGCTAAAATCAACGATCTAAAGTTTGAATTGATGCCGCACCCTCCTTACTCTCCAGACCTAGCCCCGAGTGACTATTTTCTGTTCCCTAATCTCAAAAAATGGCTTGGCGGTAAGAGATTTGCGGACAATGAAGAAGTAATCGAAGCTGTAAATGGTTATTTTGAGGAGCTTGACGAATCAGTCTATAGAGATGGCATTAATAGACTGGAACACCGCTATGAGAAATGTATCAGCCTTGGAGGAGATTATGTTGAGAAATAAAAAAAAAAAATTTTTAAAAACCTTGTTTTTCTTGGTCAGGCCGGAAACTTATCAATCCACCCTCGTATAACCACTTAGCTCTAGCAAATTCAACGTTACCGTCTTCCACCAACTATTCGCTATTATAATAATAATAATAATAACAGTAATAATAACAATTTAAATATTAATATATTCAAGAAAGTGTTCCTGGTCGTTTAAATTTAAAGTCATTCTAGAATGCCTACTGCAGAAATTTCTGCTTGTCATTGACTGAAAGAAGAAGGCATTAACAACGTTAGGAACACAAAAAGAAATTCTTTTTGAAAAACACCTAATTCTTGTTAATCTTTTTCCTTCAAATTCTGATACGTGAAAAAATAAAAATACGATGCAGGGATGATTTTTGAAGGCATCATTTACACTAAAAGCTGTTCGATATGTTTAGGCAGTCTAGCCTTTATCCTTCAAATAAAACTACTTCGTGCAATATTGGTGAAATCGACATCGTCGCCTTTAATGCCGAAACGACAATAAGAAAATTTGAAGTATGTCTGCCAAGTTAGCACAACCACATCATTTAAGAATTTACTGCTTCTTTAGTGCTAATTTAAGACTCTAATTAAAATTTTACTGCGCTATTTCTTTTATGAAAATCAATGGTGGTTCTCAGGGAAGGTCACACTACACCAAGATTTCCTATTAATAAACAAAGTTTCTAAAAGTATATTAACAATACATGTAATTACATCCGATATTATTACATAGTATCCATAAATTCTTATTTAGATCGATCTTTAGTATACAACTTTGTCGTATTACCTCATTCTTTGCTATTTTTTTGGGTTTTTCTTCGTTGATATCAATCTTAAAGTTATCTATTTCTATTGTATTTATACTATTTTGTTATTTATACAACAAAATGGCTGCAGGTATTTGTACATTTCTTCCTGTAGGTATTTTTCCTAGTGTATATGCAGAAAACTCAAAGACATTGTAAAGTAATTTTAAGTGAAATAATTGGTAAACGGCTTCTAGGATTTGTCGATTCGTATCCGATATGATCTTAATATTTCTTGTATGGTAAATCCAACTATTTCTGGTCTAGTCAGAGACATATTAGAGACAGAAACAGGAGTT